GCAGAGACCTGAGTAACTGAGAATTTATAAAATCTATTATGATCAAGCAGTGCAATAGTCCTATAGTTATTTTATATAGTTTGTTATTTTTTAATAATTGAGTTTTTATCTACAGTTTTTTTCATAATAATCATATTATCTTGAATTAATTATTACTGAGTAAAAATTTTTAACCGCTTATGGCTTTTAGGCTACGTTATAGAAAATTGTTAAATAAAAAATTCAATTAAAAAATAATAAATCATTGAATGAATTTTAACAAGTATTTTGAGTCTATTTTATGTTATAAATAAATAATGAAAGCTAATAGCTTAATAAATATAATAATGAAAATTGAACATATGGATCTGTTGTATATTTCATACCTTAATCATAACATAAGATAATATAAGAACATGGCAACCTTGTAATAGTAACTAGTAATCAGTATTTGCATATTGTTATATATTACCATCACTATAATAAATTAATAAAATGGCCATTCTTAGCCACACACAACATGGTGTCAGAAGTTAAATCTTAAGAGCAAAGAATTTAACAAGTGAAAATAAAAGTTTTTAAAAAGAAATTATAATAAAGAAAATAATATTTACAACAAGCGTCAAGAATAATGCCGGGTGGTGAGAAAATTTTGCCAGCTCCATCCCAAATGCAACCAATAGAAGGAGGACAATTTTTTGCAACAACGTTGCAGCCTATCAATTTAAAGTCTCCAAACTTGGCAAAGGAGTGGAAGCTGTGGTACACCCAATTTAAGATATTTATGACTGCTTCAAATTTGGAAACACAAGCAGATCGGCGTAAGGTAGCATTGCTACTTCATCATCTAGGTAGCGATTCCTTGAGATTTTTAATTCTTTTAACGAGGATGTCGATAGTATTGCCTACTCAACACTAGTGGAAAAATTTGAAAGCTTTTTTATACCAAAAGTAAATATAGCAATGGAGCGTCATAAATTTTTCATTTGTAAACAACAACCAAATCAAGCAATTGATGAATATGTTACAATTTTGAAAAATTTAAGTTTAAACTGCGAATTTGGCAGTTTGCGGGAAGATCTCGTCAGGGACATTTTTACCTGCGGCTTGTCGCCTAAGATGGGAAATATCCGAGAGAGATTATTGGCAGAGGGCGGTATTCCCTTGGATAGGGCTATTGCTATTGCTAAATCCATAGCTATGGCTAAAGAAAATGCTTTAAAACTTGAAGATACTCAGGACGACGAACCAGTCGTTAATTTGGTACGTAAAAAAACGTTTTAGTCTGCAACTTACAGCAAGCAACAGGTTCCACATTGTGGTCGGTGTGGTCAAGTGCATAAGAACAAATGCCCGGCAGAAGGCGCCAAATGTCATAATTGTGGCAAAAGCGGCCATTTTGCTAAAATGTGCTTCATGAAAAAACGATATGTAAAAAATGTCAATATCAACGAAGATGGCGAATGTAATTATGATAATGATGAAGAAGAAGAGGATTTATTTATTGGCGCTCTTTCTAAAACAACAAAATCAACAGCAGCAGAATGGAATATAGAGGTGGGAATTGAAAACAACAAAATGGTATGTCAAATTGATACTGGAGCTCAAGCTAATATTATTTCAACACATTCTATAAATAAGTTAAATACTAAGAGCTTATTAAAGAAAACCAATGTTAATATTTTTACATTAAGTGGTGAAAAGTTGTCGGTTATAGGAAGTATCAATTTGAAAGTTGTTCATGAGAATCAAACATATATTCTGAAATTCTTTGTAGTAGATATTAAATGCAAAAATATAATCGGTCTTCAGTCAGCAATTGAAATGAATGTAGTTAAAAATGTAAATATTTTGTCAGTAAATAAAATTTTTGAAAAGTATTCTGATGTGTTTGGAGGCCTTGGTCTTTTACGTGGCGAATGTAATTTGAGAATAAGGGAAGATGTCACTCCTGTAATTGATCCACCTCGAAAGATTCCATTTAGGTTGTATGACCCACTAAAAATGGAATTAAATAGAATGGTTGATATGAATGTGATTAAAAAAGTTAGTGAACCAACAGAATGGGTGAATTCAATTGTACTAGTTTCGAAACCTAATGGAAATTTAAGACTCTGTTTGGACCCGAGAAATTTAAATAAGGCCATTTTAAGGCCACATTTTCCTTTCAAACTTAATGGTTCAAAGTATTTCACGTCACTTGATGCTAACAGTAGGTTCTGGATGATTCCATTGAATGAACAGTCCTCAAGACTATGTACTTTTAATACGCCTTTTGGACGTTACCGGTTTTTGAGATTACCATTCGGAATTAATGCTGCACCTGAAATTTTTCATGCAGAAATGGTGAAATTATTTGGTGACATTCCGGGACTGATAATTTATATTGATGATTTTTTGATTTATTCGTCTACAAAAGACGAACATTTTAGAATTTTGGAATTGGTTTTTCAGAGAGCAAAGGATGTTGGAATAAGATTTAATAGATCTAAATGTCTAATTTTTCAAACTGAGATAAAATTCTTAGTTCATATATTTAGTAATTTTGGAGTTAAGCCAGATGTAGATAAAATCAAATCTATTGTTGAGATGCCTAAACCCGAAAATGTGAAGGAACTACAAAGATTTTTAGGTATGGTAAATTATCTAGGTGCGTTTATAGAAAATTTAGCTTTGAAAAATAAAAATTTAAGAGAACTTTTGAGGAACGATATTGAATGGCATTGGTCAGTGAAACATGAATTAGAGTTTCAAAACCTTAAATCGGAAATAACGAAATCGCCAGTATTAACATATTTTGACCCAAATAAGGAGTTGACGATGTCCGTTGACGCTTCAAAAGTTGCACTTGGTGCTACGATCATGCATAGTAAACATCCAATTGCATATGCGTCTGTTTCGTTGACGGAATCACAACAAAATTATGCTCAAATTGAGAAGGAATTATTTGCAATTTTGTTTGGTTGTACTAGGTTTCACCAGTTCGTATATGGGTCGAGGGTTTTGGTTGAAACTGACCATAAACCTTTGGTGAGTTTATTTGACAAGCCGCTGTACAAAATTCCAGCTAGGCTTCAAAGATTTATGTTGCGTCTACAATTATATAATTTGACAGTAGTTTACAAACCAGGGAAAGAGTTGCAAATAGCTGATACTCTATCAAGAGCGCCCTTATCAGAGACTATATTAGCTGAAATGGATGAGGAAATTTCCCTTCATTGTAATTTTGTGGCTTCGTGCTTAGAAACACCTTTTACAAGAATGGACACTCTTAAAGAACACACCAGAGAGGATGAAACGTTTAAGAAGATTATTACATATGTAAAAATCGGGTGGCCTAATAGTAAAAAGAATGTTGAACCAGTTGTGATGCCTTATTTTAGGATTAAAGAAGAGATTTCAGTTTTGAATGGAATTTTACTAAAAAATCATCAAATCTTAATTCCGAAAAGCTTACGTAGTTCAATTCTGTCAAAAATTCATGAGGGACACATGGGAATACAGAGATGCAAAGACCTAGCTCGACAATCAGTATATTGGCCCAATTTATACAATGACATTGAGAATGTAGTTTCAAACTGTGAGGTTTGCATGCGTTTCCAAAATTCTAAAACAAAATCAGAAATGGTTCCTCATGAAATTGTAGATATGCCAAGAAAACATACCTACTTGTAGTTGATTATTACTCTAAGTACATTGAAATAGAATTACTTAATTCAGGGTACAATAGTTCTCAAGTTATACTTAAATTGAAATCGATTTTTTCTAGACACGAAATTCCTTTTATATAAGTAACAGATAATGGCCCCCCCTATAATTCTAGGAACTTTAAAGACTTTTGCCATACTTGGGGAATTGAGCACAATACATCTAGTCCTTATTTGGCAAGGTCCAATGGTTTAGCAGAACGTTCTGTTCAGACAATCAAGAAAATTTTATTAAAGTCTCAAGAGAGTCATTCAGACCCTTATGTTGCTTTACTTCAATATAGAACAACATCAAAAGGCAATCTACCGAGCCCGGCAGAGTTGTTAATGTCAAGGTCCTTAAGAACAAAAATACCATCTATGTTAAAAAATTTAAAACCAAAGGTTATTAATAGGAACGAGTATACTAAAAAGTTGAATACAAATATTCAGAAATATTCGGATTATTACAACCAATCTGCTAAAAGAGTTGAACCTTTACAGGAGGGAGATAATGTTATGTTTAAGAAAACTCCAACAAGTTATTGGTTTCAAGGACAAATTATTGATACATGTAAAGAACCAAGGTCATTTATAGCAAAAGATTCTAATGGTACTCTTTACAGAAGAAGTCAAGATCATATAAAGAAAACACCAGAAAATAAAATTATAGAAAATCCAGTTAATCAAGAATTTCATTCAAATAGTCAGACAAATCTTGAATTGCCATCTACTGTTAATAATGATTCCAAGGAGTATATAACAAGAAAAGGTCGAATTGTAAAACAGCCTAAAAAACTAAATTTATAAATTGTATATATTAACATTTATACTGTAAATATGTATGTATTAAAACATAACATTTGTTAAAACACTCATGCAATTGTTATATATTATATTTATTGTAAATCATTATTGTAGATTATACTTAAGAAGGGAGATGTTGTATATTTCATACCTTAATCATAACATAAGATAATATAAGAACATGGCAACCTTGTAATAGTAACTAGTAATCAGTATTTGCATATTGTTATATATTACCATCACTATAATAAATTAATAAAATGGCCATTCTTAGCCACACACAACAGGATCGTTTATTAATGTAATTTAATTATTTTTATTAGTTACATTTAAGAAAACTATATTTGGTAAAACTGCAATTAAATTTCAGATAATTGCAATTAAAAATTATGGCCAATAGGCTAAGTTTTTTGAAAATAAAAATATTAAATTAAAATTATTCCCGCTGTAATGTAATGAAAAATATAGTTGGCATCCCTCATGCATTGTTAAATTATTAGAAAAAAATTAATAATATATTGTACCCACCTGTGCGGTTAAATTTTTAAGTAGTAACCAATTTGAGGTCCAATTAGAATTTGTTCCCGACCAGCCTCCAGTTCGACCACCGCCTAGCCAACCATTGGCATTACCGGGATTTGTTACATTAGGTACGCCACCTCCACCAGATTTATTACTGCCTAAACCTGGTGGTGGTCCGCGTGAAGTCTTATTCATTGAAGACCATATTTCTTGTTGTGTGTTATCCGACCAACTAATGAAAATTAAAAAACGATATTAAAAATTTTTTATTCATAAAGTTATGAAAATATGTAAGAACCTGGGAAAATTTTGATTGCTGGATGAGGGATTAAAGCTCCACGTAGATGATGACGTTAGTCCTAATGACGGTAAATCAGTCGGGGAATTTTTGTTAGCAGCATTAGAAAAAATATCAGCATCTTTTGGCGTCGGATTTATTGATAACGGAGATCTAGCTACACTTCCAGGAGTTATACTTGGATCATCCTCAATGCTTTTTATCTGCGAACCCTTAAATTAGATAAGTTGTACATAGAAATCATTCTTAAATCAGGAAATGAACTCAATTTTCCGTGAACTCAATAATTTTTTAAGCTTTTTAATACATGGCCCTAAGGTATTAATAATTAATCTTTAAAAACAACTTTAAGATTTTGAAAAAATCTGGTTGGAATAACGATTTTTGAAATTCATTTCCTGATTTTGTTAAAGTAGTTACCTTCCATGGTTTTCCAGGCTCGAACTCCTGTACCAAATCGGTATATGCAGTTGCAGTTGAAGGCTGTCCAACTGACCAGTCTTTATTCTCACTATCATTTGAGGGGTCTGGCCAACCGTCATTTATATTTCGTCCGGTTGACCATGTTCTGAAATAACATTTTTTAATGATACAATTTATTTTTTTTATTCAGTAATATTTAAATAATAAAAAAAAACAATTTATTTTATTTTTATTTTCGAAAAACAAAACAATGACCCTTAGATCCATTGGTTGGCTTTCAAATTTATTTGTTTACATGGGCAACTTAAATCGATATTAGAGATATAAATAACTTCATAACTTCATATATTTATATTTACATATTTTTAAAGATTCATTGCAAATTAAATCACATTATTAGATGTACAGAGGAGTCGGAATAGAGTGTACACTGGATAATATGAACTACTGGATAATACGAAGACCCAAAATTTTACATTAGTTATCTTAAAGAGCGAACAACGCAAGACATTAGTTTATTTTCTTATAAAATTATTCATTAAATGATTTTTTTATCGTTAGAAAAAGCTCTGAAAAACTAAATTCTCTAACATCCTTTGACTGAAAAAATTTGTTTATTAACTTTACAAATTTTAAAATTATTTATTTGAAATTTAATGACGATCAACACTTTCTGAAGAATTTTGTGGTAAAGTGCCTCCCAGGAGGACAAGTAGACAACAATGTAAAGAGGAATCGAGTTTTCATTTAGAATTTTGAAAGTTGAATACAGAAATACCTAATTAAAACTGATAATTATAATTTTACATTCAGAAAATACCAAATGAAATTAAGATTTTCTATTTCGAATTCGGAAAAAGCAACTACATATGATATTTCTTCGTTGCAAATTCCGAAAAGAACAAATGATAGATTTTTTATGTGAAACTCAGAAAAGAACAATTATATTATTATCTTATACACATCCATTTGAAATTGAACTATTGTTTTTTTTCCAAATTTTGGGTTTTGAAATGAAAAATCTCAACTCCAATTGTTCTTTTCTGAATTTCATATTAAATATATATTTTTATACGCCAATTTGATTTGATTTCGAAAGAATAAAGTTTTAATTCCATTTATTATTTGCCGAATTTATTAATACTAAGATTTAATTTTTTTATGTAAACTTTTTATAAGTAGAGATTTGTAACCGATTATGGTGTATATAGGCTTAGTTATTGGAATAAAGAAATTGAAAATTGTATTTCAAATGAAAAATCGTAATTTTAATAGTTCTCTTCTGAAAATTAATTAAAATAATTAATTTAAATTGAATTACAAATTAGACATATTATTTTATACGCCAATTTGATTTAAATTTCGATACCATTATTTATTTTCGAGCTATAGTGCATTATTTTTCCATTGCACTAATATTTTCAAATCTTAATATTGATTCCCGAAAACAATTGGTCATAGCTCCCATATAAGGTCCACTTTCGAAAATCACCTAAACACACATATTTTATTGATAAATAAAGCTATTGAGATAAAATTCGAGTTGAATATGTTTTGTGTACATATAAATCATTCTACCACTTTTTTTCCGGATCGGTTCATTATTGGTCTTAGCTCCCATATAAGGCCCACTTCCGGAAATCACTTAAACGTTTATATTTCATTGTCAAATAAAGTTATCTTGATAAAATTCGACACAAATATGTTTTGTCTTTATATGAATCACTCTAGGAAATTTTTCCGCTATAGGGATAAAATTCGACTTGGATATGTTTTGTGTACATATAAATCATCCTACAAAGTTCTTTACGGATCGGTCCATTATTGGTCTTCGCTCCCATATAAGGCCCACTTCCGAAAATCACTTAAACGCATACATTTCATTGAATTCTAAAGCTATAGATATAAAATTCGACTTGAATATGTTTTGTGTACATATAAATCATTCTACCACTTTTTTTCCGGATCGGCCCATTATTGGTCTTAGCTCCCATATAAGGTCCACTTACGAAAATCACTTAAACGCATATATTTCTTTGAATAATAAAGCTATCGGGATACAGTATGACTTGAATATGTTTTGTGAGCATATAAATCATTCTACCAAATTTTTTCCGGATCGGTTCATATTTGGTAATAGCTCCTATATAAGGTCCACTTCAAAAAATCACTGAAACGCACATATTTCATTATCAAATAAAGATATCTTAATAAAATTCGACACAAATATGTTTTGTGTACATATGAATGATTCTACGAAAGTTTTCCGGATAGGCCCGTAATTGGTCATAGCTTCAATAAAAAGTCCACTTCCGAAAATCACTTAGAAATATCTGGCAACTTCGTGATTAATATATAAAATATTTTATTGGCTAATATAATATTCGCAAAAATTACTAAATCTTCTAAAAATTTTTATTGTTGTGAATTTTTATAAAGACAAAAATATATACATATTAACTGTGGAAAGTAAGTTTATGAATTGCATTTGCATAGAACACGCAAACGCACCATTTGTTAGTATAACCTAACCTCAATCTGTCGGCATTTAACAATAAATCTTGTATTTTTTGTCGCAAATGGTTTCATCCGAACTGTGTTGTCGTTAATACTGACCAGCTGTCTGCACTTGCTAAAAGCAAAGGAGCTCTTAACTACATATGTGATTCTTGCAAAGAGGTCCGTTCTTTTCGTGAAGAATTAAGAAAGGGACTTGCAGATATACAAACAAAATTTTATGTTATTTTGTCTGAAGTTAAACAGGAATTAAATACTAAACATACAGAGCTTAAAAACGATATTGATAACTGTAACAAAATGATCAAATTCATAGACAAACGACAAATAAAAGTTTATTTCTGGAGGATCAGAATGAAGTTCTAAACAAGCGTCTTAATAAATCAGACATATTAATTAATGGACTGCCTAAGTATCACGACAACATTAATGAGCTCGTAGTCAAAATTTTATACAACTTAATGCTGACATAAATCCTGGTGATATAAACAACTGCTATTTTATAAATCAGGGTAATACTGTTCTAGTCAAGCCTAATAATATTCCCAAACGTGATCTTGTAATGCGTAATTATTTCAAAAGTAGAAATGTGTGCCCGTCTTCATTAATTGATACTGATGTAAACAAAAGAATATTTTCAAATGATCATGTAACGCCTAAAGTTGGACGTGTCATATTTCTATGTCGCAGGTTGCGAAAGGATAATAAAATTCTAAAATATCGCTTGATCAACTCGGACAAAACTAAAATTAAAATAACTCTGAAGGATAATACTATCAAAATATTTGATTTATCTGAATTTTTGTCGTATTTCAATTTGTGTTCCAACTTTTCTTCTGAATTGCAAGCGAATTCTAATTCTAATTTAACTGTTCAATCTTAATCTTAGTTATTATTATATTGTTTTTGTTACTATTTTCAAAATAAATTTATATAATTATCCTTTAATTCGATTTGGTTAAAGAAACTTATTTTGGATTATGTACATATGTAAATTAAAGAAAGGATTTTAATAATTTCCATTATACTTTGATATTTTTTGAATTGTAATAATTTTTCGATAATTCAATCTAGTATTAAACTCTTTATTTATATTAATTCTGCAACTGATTTATTTTTCTTTTTTTTTTTTTTGCTATAAATTCCTATTTATACTTTATTCATTAAAGTATAATTTAGGATTTTTTATCCCTTATTTTGGTTGTTAATAACAGAGTTCAGAAATATTCATTTACGAACACTTAAATTGACACATTCGTAATAAATATGAATGAAATTAGCAATTTATGTTTTTTATTTTCACATTCGGAAATGAGAAGCTAATTTTTGTTTTATCTTAAGCACACATAAATGAAAACATTTGTATTTTTTATTTTAGCACATATAATAGTGAAAGATAAAAAATGCCAAATACTCAAATACGTCAAGTCTTCTCATCACACTGATTAATATTTGTATACATGTGTGAGTTGTTTGAAAATTAAAAAAATAAAAACAGGTTTTTTTTTTCAGTCTTGTACTATCGTTTAATACGTATGGTCGTGATTTGCGCTGCTAATTTGCATTCTTGTAAAGTAGTTTACAGCTATTTTCTTATTGATAAATAAAAACAAATAAATTCTTAAATAAAAATAAAACAAAAATAACACAAAATTAAACGTGCGCGTGTCGAAGATGTTACTGTCTCTCACAGGCAGAACATGACTAAAAAATCAAAAACAAACGGCTCTCAGAGAGCTGAAAAAGAAAACTTTTTAGCTCCTCTGCAAACTATTGATGATCAAGATGACGATAATATTATCGATAAAATCAACAAAATAAAAATACCACCCATAACAATACTAAAGTGTAAAATAGAGCAGATACACGAAATGTGTAGAATATTAAAAATTACAGAATATTCTATACGTAAAATTTCAATTGGTTTAAAAATTTTTTGCACTAAAAAAGAAGATTTTGATGTAATTTGCAAAGCACTTACAGAAAAATTTCAATATGAGCATTTTACATATGCTGCCAAAGATGAAAAGCCTTATAAGGCGGTACTATTAGGTTTGGATAAAACTGACCCTGCAATTATTAAAACCCGCTTAATAAACCTTGGTTTGAAATGTATCGACGTTAAAATAGTTACAAAGGCAAAAGAAAATAATAGAGAACAAACCATTTTCATTGTTTATTTTGAACGTAAATCCATAACGTTAAAGGAATTGAGGCAAAACTATTCAGTTATTGAATATATAAAAGTGAGATGGGAATATCAAAAGCCCAATAAATCCAAAGTTACCCAATGCTATAACTGCCAAATGTTCGGACATGGTTCTAGTAGGTGCAAAGTCAAAACTTTTTGTGCTCGATGTGCTGGAGAACATCAAACAAAAGATTGTAATGCAACTTTCGAGAAATGTGCTAATTGCAATGGATCTCATAAATCAATGTCTCCTAATTGCCCCAGTAGAGAAACCTATATTCAAATGAAAACTCGTGCCTCACCAAAAAATCCAAGAGATAGAAGCCGTACATACAGCAATGAAAATAACTACAACATAAACTTTCCGAATTCATTAAATCAAAGTCAACGACCTATTTCACAGCCTAACGTTTATAACACAAGGAATATAAACAATG